AACACACAAGCCTACGGGCCCACCCACAAAGCATTAAAGGATGCAAAGACAAATAGAAACAATCATTTGCTACCTAAATGGATTGACAACACTGATCATTAATCCAAAAGAGAATGCCGGTGGAGGCTTTGCTGTCAATCAACTGAGCAATAGAAAGCCACAGTACCAAATACACGTTGATGATTTTTCTCCTGTCTACTGTTTTTTAACCACCTTACCTTATAGGTCAAATAAAAGACCGCAGGTAAATGGAAAGAGGAGTATAGGTTGCAAAAACATTTGTGCATATTTACAACGATGCAAGTGAAAAGAAAACTGGGTTAAAATTGCAGGTTAGAAGCCTTTCAAAGACTCAGACAGCGCTTTCCTATTACATTCATTAAATAACTTTCTCTAATACATACAGCCGCACCCATGGATGTTCAATTTGCCACTTAGCTATAGAAAAAATCTATAGCGAGAACACAAAGGGAGAGAGTAAAAATTGCTCACTTTTACACTGCAGGCCTTGCCGCATTATCCCCCAGAGCAAAGACCCACAATGGTCACAGAAGGTCGGCACTTTGTAGTTGTGCACGCTGAACTTATGGGGAATGTTGATTCCAAACCTCTGCTCCAAAACCTAATAAGGGATCAAAAAGATAAAACTGAGTTTAAAAATTAGTGGATATAAACATACCCACATTCACGCACATGTGCACGCTTAAGGCATTACAATAACTCAAGAACATACGAGATGCCATGTTGGGTTCTGCCACAGCCCAGCTAACCTAGTATCCTGTTGCTCCCAGTCGCAGAAAGCAGATGCTAAGGGGAAGAGTATTTACGCTGGGCCTATCCAGACTGAGCTATCCCCTTCCCTTCTTTGCCTACAGCTTCCAGCATTCAGGAGCCTTAGTTTGGAGGTTGTACCCTTAACTGAACAACTGTAGAAATAAAAGTATAATAATGAAAAAAGTCCAGAGAAAGGTAGTTAACCAAGTTAGTCTGAAGTCAGGCAGAAGGCAGCATCAGATGAAGTGAGCTCTTGTTCATGAAACCTGACGTATCTCTGGTTCAGTTGATCTATAAAGGTGTAGAGATGACCCTGCCTTCTGAAAAAAGGCCAGTTCTGAAAATGCCATCTCCAGCTTCCACCACCCTGAAAGTTTATGACTGATAGGGCCTGGCCCCGGACTGAAATCTAATATGCAACTAGACTGGTTGGTTGACTTTGTCATGCGTTTTGTGTAGAGCAAAGATGATTTTACAAAGGACAGGTTAGCTGATTTCATATTCTTATTAAGACCAGATCACAAACCCATCAAGACATAAAAGGGTTAATGACAAATTACTGCTTGCTACAGGAACAAATGACTGCTTGCTACTAACCAAGCCGCACTAAAAACAATTAATTTGTTTTGCAAAAATAAGTGTTTTTTTTAAAACCAAATGTCTATATTGCTTTAAAAACAGCATCAAATTTCCCAGGACCCCCCAAACTCTTCATTCTCTTTCCCTGCCTCTGCTTACCATCACTAACTTTTCAGGTTTCGCTCTGTCCCCTGCCTCCGCCTCCCTCCACCTCCCCCCCAAATATCCCTCCACCCGCCCCCCAAATATAAGCAGAGTTATTATCATCTTTTACATTGTGAATTATTTTGATCACAAATGCAAAATCAGCCCATTTTGGAACATGCTGGGTCGGCTGAGGAACACTGCCCTAGTTTACAGCCCACTCAAGTTTATTGAGAGGTGAATCCACAGTTTTAGTAACAATAGATACAACGGGTTTTGGAGTCCGTCGTGCTTCTTGAACTTTGTCTCCTTCTGAAGATGGTTAGCTCTTTTACTGCCCCTTAATTGCTCTCTGGAGAGATTCACTACTGTTGTGGTGTTAAAGGTGCTGGCTAATTTTGCCCCCTGTTTGGCCACTTTAGTCATTTTAATAGACTTATCAACAGTACTGGTAAAAAAATAATTAAGTGACAGCCACTGTTTTCATGTATTGGAAGGGAGAAAACTGGCTGAGACACCAGATTTAGGGTGGAGCTTTACTTTACCACTGGTAATATTCCTCATAAATTTTGGTTCTCAACTGATACATTTTTTTGGCCAAGATCAAGTGTATTATCCAGTTTTAGGAATGGGCCACACAATGTACAAAATGGTAACCTCCTCACCCAATATGGTACCAAGCGAACTGAAAAAATAAAGACAAAGGAAGCATAAGGAAACAGAAGTTTAATGGATGACTTGGTTAGAGTTACACGTGGTTTCCTAGGGGAGAAAAATGAGTGCTAAAGGAACTGATGGAGAAAGATAGAAGGGAAATCCATAGTTGGATATTACTGTTGGTCTAGGCTTTTAAAATGATTCCTTGCCAAACAGGGGACAATATAGGCATGTATCAGTTTAACACAATAATGACAGTGAGCCTCTTAAAATGGCAACTCAGAGAAATCTGCATTGGAAATAAGGTGCCAGTTCTAACAGTGAAGGTGTGTAAATACTAGCACCAACCACCATTAGAAGAGGTGGATACTCAGGAAAGATGCCTTATGAAGATATGTCTTCCAAGTATCACAGGCCCACCCAAGCCTGGAGCCACAATAGCTCAATGCGGTTATGGCAGGGGCAGGCAATTATTTTGGGTGGAGGGCCACTTACTGAGTTTTGGCAAGCCATCGAGGGCCGCATGACAGGCAGCCCAGGGCAGATACATATTAATTTTCTAAATTTTTTAGGAGCCCTGTGGGCTGGACAGAATGGCCTGGCAAGCCACATCCGGCCCCCAGGCCACATTTTGCCTACCCCTGGGTAAAGGCATATTGGTGTCTGCACCCAGCACCATTCAGGGGAAGGATTCAACTAGCATTGCACCCAGCCACTCCACAGCCCAAACAACCAGATGCTTGTTCACATCTAGGTCAAGTGGGAGCAGCCTTTGGCACAAGTCTGAAGTGAGGCCTGGATTTCCATTTAGTGC